CAGCTGGGCAGTGGTGGCACATGCCTTTAATCCCAGCACTCGGGAGGCAGAGCCAGGCGGATCTCTGTGAGTTCGAGGCCAGCCTGGTCTACAGAATAAGATCCAGAACAGGAACCAAAACTACACAGAGAAACCCTGTCTTTTGTTTGTTTGTTTCTGTTTTTTGAGACAGGGTTTCTCTGTGTAGCTTTGTGCCTTTTCTGGAACTTACTGTGTAAGCCCAGGCTGTCCTCAAACTCACAGAGATCCTCCTGCCTCTGCCTCTCGAGTGCTGGAATTAAAGGCATGTGCCACCATTGCCCGGCCTGAGAAATCCTGTCTTGAATCCCCCCCCAAAACAAAACCTAGAAAAAAAAAACCAACACATAATAACAACAAAGAATAAAATTAAATAAATTCTGTCTTACTCACATTGCAGTCAATTTCTGATCAGACTACATCGTGTGTGTGTGTGTGTGTGTGTGTGTGTGTGTGTGTGTGTGTGTGTTTTGCTGGTAATCAAATCTAGGACCTTATACATACTGGACAAATGTTTTCATCCTATCCCGAACTTATGCTACATCACAGCTGTCCATTTTTTTTTTTTTTTAATTTAACCAGAGATTCAACCCAGGGGCCTTCTGAATGCTAAATTCTACCACTGAACTATATCATAGTCTTCATGTGTCCTCTTAAAATAAGTTTCTGTTTATAGTGTGCTTAGCACTGCATTGGGCTATAGCAAGACAGTTTTCGAGCTCAGTCCCTTCCCTAGAAGAGCATAGAGGGGTTTTTGTTTGTTGGTTTGGGTGGGGTGGTTTCCCGACAGGCTTTCTCTGTGTAGCCCTGGCTGTCCTGGGACTCGATCTGTAGATCAGGCTGGCCTCAAACTCAGAGACCCACCTGCCTCTGCCTCCCCAGGCATCATTTTTCTGTTCTTAGGGTGCTGAGATTAAAGGTGTAGGCTACCACCAACGAGCAAGTATAGAGTCTCACTGGACTAGAGCACTCTTTTCTGGGCTGAGGCTGTCCTGGAACTTGCTATGTGGTCAAGATGACCTTGAAGATCCTTCCTCTCCTTCCACGTGATGAAATTCACAAGTCCTCCAAAGAGAACTACAGGATATCTTAACTAAAGGGATAACCGTGGTTAGAGAGTTGTATTGAGGGCAAAGATATGCCCAAATTACCTGACTCAACTTCTCTTCCCAGACTTCAGAGTATACAGGCTGAAGGATAACAGATTTGAGGTGAATCATGGTCGCTTGCTAATTAGGCAAGTCACTGCTGTGTCTGGGGGGTGGGAGGCATTTTGTCATTTAAAGAAGAATTATATCATTTACTTGAAAGCTGGACCTGGTGATACAGACCTGTAATCCTAGCTACTCCAGAGGCTGGGTAGGAGGATTACAAGTTTTTAGGGGCCTGCCTAGGCTCCAAGTTAAGTGCCAGACTAGTCTGGACCTCTTAGTACCACTCTTCTCTCAAATAAAACCCACAAGACAACTTAGAAAGAGCTACGGCTATAGTTTAGTAGTTCAATGCCCTGGAGCAGATGATCTGTACAAAATGCTAAGCATGCTCAGAAATGTTGGTTTCTTGGGGCGGAGAGATGCTCAGTGGTTAAGAACACTCGCTGCTTTTGCCGAAGACTGAGGTTTGGTTCTCAGCACCCATATGATGGCTCACAACCAGGGGATCTAGTTCCAGAGGAACCGGCACTCTCTTCTGACCTCCCTGAGCACCGGGTATATACACACTGCACAAACAAACACGCAGACAAAATACTCATACACAAGACCTTTAAAAAAAACCAAAATCTAAAATTTTTCTAGATTAAAAAAAAAAAAGTTGGCTTTAGAGCCTGGAGAGTGTTTTTTGGCACTGGGCGGGGCAAGGGGAACCCCATGGAGGAAGGAGCAGCAGGATGGCAGGAGCCCAGTGCCAGCCCAGGGGTCGGTTGCATGCACCAAGAGCACCACCCACAGAGTCACCACCCACAGAGTCGACTAGGCAGGGCTCATGGGGGTCATGGAGCCTGAAGGGACAATCAAGGACCCTGTGTGGGTCTGGGCTGGGTCCTTTGCATTTATTTTGTGGTTGTGTGGCTGGGTGTTCTTGTGGGGCTCCTGGCAGTAGGAGTTGGGGGTGCTGGTAATCTGAGAACTACTCACATTCCAGAATCCTGTGCTCCGCCAGCCTGCCTTCAGCAACTCAGCTCTAGCAGCCACGTCATCGCCTGTAGTTGGTTGTTTTTACTCTTTGCTCTTGGGGGCCCTCCACCCAGCTCCCAAATAAATACATGGAGCCTGATTCTTACTTAGGAATGCCTGGCCTTAGCTTGACTTGTTTCTAGCCAGCTTTTCTTAAATTATCCCTTCTACCTTTTCCCTCTGGGCTTTTACCTTTCTCTATTCTATATGTCTTTCTTTACTTCTTACTCCATAGCTGGCTGGGTGGCTGGGTGGCTGGCCTCTGGCATGCTCTTCTCCTCCTCTTTTTCTCTCTTCCTCCTTCTCTTGAGCCTAAATTTCTTCCTCTATTTATTCTCTCTGCCCCACCTGTCCCTTATTGGAGAAATTAGTTTGGCCACTCCACGTAGTTAAAAGGATATTTATTTAATGGCATAACTCACAAATTAAGTGAAAGGTAGGTCGCAGGGTCTGGGGAAGGTGTATCGAAATCCAGCAGTGTTCTCTGGGGCTCTGCTCAGTTCACCTCCAATGTTCAGCTTCCAGGCACAGAGAGAGCGCACAGGCACCTCCCCTGGCCCCGCCTCGTAGGCGTGACAGTTGCCAGAGTCTCAATGGGGGTTGGAACTTCCAGATCCAAGCTGGAATGGCTACCCACTACAGTCCCTCTCTCCTGCCTAGCTATTTGACTGCTCAGCTCTTTATTAGACCAATCAGGTGTTTTAGACAGACAAAGTAACACAGCTTTACAAAGTTAAACAAATGCAACATAAAAGAATGCAACACATCTTTGCATCATTAAATATTCCACAGCATAAAAGAATGTAACACATCTTTAATATTCCACAACAATCACCAGCTGGGTGTAACCTTTATAAACCCCTTGCCATTATGGCCCTCTCTCTCCCTCTCTCGTGCCCACTTAGAGGC